TGGTGTTTCTCTTTCATTGATTGGCTTATTTCACTCAGCATGATGTTCTCCAATTCCATCCAGGTTGCTGCAAATGGTGAGAATTCCTTCTTTTTTATGGCAGCATAGTATTCCATTGTGTAGATGTACCAAAGTTTTTGGATCCAATCATCAGCTGACGGGCACCTAGGCTGTTTCCAGATTCTGGCTATTGTAGATTGTGCTGCTATGAACATAGGGGTGCATATATCCTTTCTGATTGGTGTTTCTAGTTTCTTGGGATATATTCCTAGGAGTGGGATTACTGGGTCAAATGGGAGTTCCATTCTCAGTTTTTTGAGGAAACTCCACACTGTTCTCCACAGTGGTTGCACCAGTCTGCATTCCCACCAGCAGTGCACGAGGGTTCCTTTTTCTCCGCAACCTCGCCAACACTTGTCGTTTGTTGATTTGTTGATGTTGGCCATTCTGACAGGTGTGAGATGGTACCGCATTGTTGTTTTGATTTGCATCTCTCGGATAATTAGTGACTTTGAGCATGTTTTCATGTGCCTTTTGGCCTTCTTTCTGTCTTCTTTTGTAAATATTCTATTTAGGTCCATTGCCCATTTTTTAATTGGATCATTCAACTTCCTTTTATTTAGTTGTATCAGCTGTCTGTAGATGTTGGAGATTAAACCTTTATCAGTGGTATTATTTGCAAATATGTTCTCCCATACCGTGGGCTTTCTTGTTGTTTTGTTGATGGTTTCTTTTGCTGTAAAAAAACTTTTTATTTTGATGTAGTCCCATTTGTTTATTTTCTCTTTAGCTTCCATTGCCCTAGGGGCAGTATCAGTGAAGAAGTTCTTTTGGCATATGTCTGAGATTTTGCTGCCTGCGGATGCTTCTAGTATTTTTATGGTTTCCCGTCTGATGTCGAAGACATTTTTAAGTGGTCCTTGGTGAGAAGTGGAAAAATGTGTTGATATAATAGGATTGCTGGGCAATGTTGATGGGCCTTTTGAAGTTGGTGACAAATTGATAGCAGACAAAATCCTATTTTTGTGACTTTTTCTGGAAGCTTTCAGGGAACATGTTGGAGAAGGCTTAGAGTAGGATTCATTCAGTATTGGGAATTGCATAAGCTGAATAAGTAAAAGTATTGAAAATATAAATGGTTACAATTTTTATGGATGTCAACAAATTATTAAACGTGTATTATTGTCAATAATATCAATAATTATTAAACGTGTATATCAATATCATCAAGATTAAAAATATATTTATACACTGAGTGGCCAGGTTATTATGATCTCTAAACACAATAATCGGGCCACTCAGTATATATATGTGTATATTAAGCCTGGTGCATGAATTCGTGCATGGGTGAGGTCTGGTCAGTAGGCCAGGGGGAGGGGACATAGGCGGTTGGCTGGCCTGCCTGCCAGTAGAAGTCCTGGTAGAGGGGATAATTTGCATATTAGTCTTTTATTATATAGGATATACACAGAGTGGCCAGATTAACATGCGTTCAAAGATCATAATAATCTGGCCACTCAGTGTATATTAATACATTCCATATTTTTGCTTTTGTAATTATTTTGCTTATGACAGATCTTTGGTTTGGAGGCAGCTCTCCCCCTTTTGGAGTATAAAGTGCCAGGAACATATCTATTTTATTCACTCTGATATTCCTGGCATTTAACAAAGTGCCTGAAAAAGTACTTATTGAATGGTTGAAATGGTGGAGGTGCAATTTCAATTCAGATTCTTCTGGCCCTCCTTTCTCTGGTCTTTCAACACATCGACAGAAGTGGTGTGGATAAAGGGGAGTGATACTTTTCTTACAGCCTTATGGGGGAAGATGAAGAGATGATGTATGTGAAAAGGGCTAGTACCCAGGCTTAGAACGTAGAAGATGCTAATTAAATGCTGTTGATTTTTATTTTTGTCCAGTTAGCAATTTTCCTAAAGATAACCCTTGAAACAAGTTTCTGAAATACCAAAATTCACTTTTCCTCCTATCAATTTGTGGACTATCCAGGTAGACAATAGAAAGGCAAAGGGCACTTCTAGGAGGCTGTATGTAGCGGTCACTCCTTGTGAGACCAAAACTGTATTCGAAGGGAATAATTAAACGATGGCATCAGCATGCTTCGGACTTGTGAACAAGGCAAAAGCTAGTTCTAAAGCTGCTTCTGCAATGGTCCTGGGAGGGGAGAAGCCTCCCTCAGAGAGGCGGAAAGCACACACATAGGAAACCCCAATGTTATCACTCCTACCTTATAAATAACCCTGTTCAGGGGAAGAAGAAAGATTTCTCTCACATGGTGCTGATGAGTATTAGCAGAAAGCAGAGCTGGGAAGCTGGCTACTCTCTGGAACATTTTCCCTCTTGTTAGCAGCAGGGCTTTATTTGGCATTTCAAAGACAAAACATTGGAAAGGGCACCTGAGTGACCTGGAGCCACGAGTGACCTGGGAGCCAGGCGTGCCTCTGCCACGAATCACCCATGTGACCTTGGACCAGCTGCGCCTAAACTTTGAGTCTTCAATCCACTGTCTCTAAAATGGAGACAATCGGAAAAGATGATTTTAAATGTCATAGGGTTCTTCAGCAATTAAGAGGGAAATGGGTCACAAAACGAATTCCCAGCTGCTGTAAGTGAATGACAACTTTTTGGGTTTCACCTACTGCTGTCCTAAGAACGTTTCAGTTCAGATGAATTTCTGCAATTGAGAGCTATTTCCTCAGTTATGCTTTATCACAATTTAAAACATAATTCAAATTTCATTCAGGATTTTAGTTATGTGGAACAGAAAAATTTGGGATGCTATGCTTGGAGCTGGTCTAGAGGATTAGCCTCACCATTCCATGATGTTAGGGTATAAATCAAACCAATCCTGGTGACCTGTTGATATCCTCAGATCCAGTCAATGTAAGTTTTTTTTTATAATCTATTTTTTAAAAATAAAAATGTGGTGGAATAATTTTACTAAAATTCACGTTATTTTCCATGAAATAATTTTGCTTCTCCTTTTATTCTTTGCTAGTTTTTAACAAATATTTATTTTTTACTTCCATAAATTTGAATCACAGCAATGAACCAGCTGAACATTTTTATTTTGGGGCATATAAATGTATTATTTAGCTGATTGATTCATATTCTATTTTTCTACTCCTGTATTCTGTATGGAGATAAGGAGTAGGGATTTTTTCCCATATTTACTAGTATAATAAAATTGTACCCATATCAATACCTGCTTGGTCTCAAATACATGCATTTAGGTCCTTGATTCCTAATGGTGTTGATTATGGTGATATCAGAGGTGCCTTTTATTAAATGTTTGTCACATCCAGGCTTGGTATAAGCACAACATGCACTATTTTCATTTACTTTTCTCTGCAATCTCAGGGCAGAGCAGTATTCCCAGTTTATACAGACAGTCAATAGCAGCAGAGGAATGAGTCAAACACAGATGAGCTTAAGTGACAGTATAGTACATCAAAGCTCACAGACTCCTTAGCTAGAGTGCCTGCTAGCTCTGCCAATTATTAGCTGAATATGCACCTGTAAGTTGCTGAATGTGTGCCTGACTTCCTTCTGCAATATGAGCATAAAGACAGTGACTTACCTCCTGGGCATGAAGTGAGGATTGTATGAACTGATTTATGTAGGGCAGTTAGGACAGTGCTTGGCAAAGACTAAGCACTACACAGCCATTGTCTCTTGTTACTGTTATCTGTGCTCTTGGCCATAGGGACCTCTCCAAAGGTCCCTATCCAGCTTGTCACTTGCAGAAGCTGTATTTGCCTTTTTGCAGTAAAGCTTGGAGAGAGAAAAAGGAGGCAGCTTCCTGATCAACACAGAACTCTTCTCTCCAGTGTTTCTTATATCTGGGTGTTTTTTTCTTCCTCTGACACTTAATGATTTTACTTTAATTCCCACCAAACTGAGCATCAGATCTTCATCAAATTGAGAGATTTAGCTACCTGAAGAAGGTATGTGTTTTCAGGAGAATGATAGATTATGCATCCCTCAAAACTAAGACAGGCGCAGGATTCCCTTCCCTCATATTGTTAGGAGAGTAAAGGGTAAGTAGGAATATTCTGCTGGATGAGGTTGTAATTTGCAGCTGAGTAGGACAGGCCAACTCTTCTCCCTGCCCTCGTAGCTTCATTTATGTAGAGAATGCCAGATAACCATTTAATAGAACCCTTCACGGATGCTCACCAAACTTTTTTATTTTTGTAACCTTTGACCCATTCTGTAAACTGCAGAAGGACTAGTAGCTTTAACCAGAAGAATTTTACCAAGCCAAAGAAAGCAAAATGCAGAGTATGTAGAATATATAAAAGCAAGGGGGAGGAGTAATTTAAGTTGGCTTCCTAGACATGAGCTTGTCCACAGTCTGTGCACGGAGTGGGGGTAAATAAACAGGGGGAGAAATGGAGAAGTTGGGCAAGTCTCACCAGCTGCAATCTCATCAGTTTCTCCCAATCCTTGCTTTAATTGGTTTTGCTTCACTTTGTGTTACTGTTGGAAATACCTGCAACAGAAAGTGTAGCAAACTTCTCTGAACAGTCCAAGAAGAAAGATTTAAAACGTGGAATGTTCGTGCAGAAGTTTCAGGAGATTTGGAATGTTCATAGTTTTCTCAAGTGCCATTGTGTCTAGGTGGAGCCTTGCTGAAAATGGTCAGAGATATTGAATTGGAAAACCAATATCTGACAAAAGTTCAATAGTAACCAAATCAATAAAATATGGCTAATTAAATTACTATTTTCATGTAATAAGTTAGATATTTAGTACCCACTGATGCTGAAGTTAGCAGATAGACAGATGCTGACATTTTGTGATTCACACACTAAGTTGGTATAAGAATTTTGGAACAGAAAGAGTTAAAAGGGGCAAAGGGAAGTGGGTGTAGATAAAAGAAACCTTGCAATATTTCCTTCTGGAATTATTAATGCTATGATTCTGTTTCTCTGTTGATTTATAGGCAGTACTGTACCTGCATTATCTGTGCCCTTGGACTATGGAAATATCACACAATATCACAGAATTTTTCATGCTGGGACTGTCACAGAACCCAGGAATACAGAGAGTTCTTTTTGTTGTCTTCTTGATCATTTATGTGGCCACAGTCGGTGGCAACATGCTCATTGTGGTCACCATCACCTCCAGTCCCACCCTGAACTCCCCCATGTATTTTTTCTTGGCCAACCTGTCCTTTCTAGACACCTGCTATTCTTCTTCGATGGCCCCTAAACTCATTGCTGACTCCTTGTATGAGGGGAGAACCATCTCTTATGAGGGTTGCATGGCTCAGCTCTTTGGAGCCCATTTTTTGGGAGGCGCTGAGATCATTCTGCTCACGGTGATGGCCTATGATCGTTACGTGGCCATCTGCAAGCCCCTGCACTACCCAGTTATCATGACCAGGCATCTCTGTGCCCTGCTGGTGGAAGTGTCCTGGCTTGGGGGCTTCTTGCATTCATTGGTTCAGCTCCTCCTGGTCCTTCAGTTGCCCTTCTGTGGGCCCAACATAATAAATCACTTTGTCTGTGACTTGTACCCCTTGCTGGAACTCGCCTGCACCAACACATACATCACCAGTCTGCTGGTGGTTGCCAACAGTGGTGCGATCTGCCTGTTGAACTTTCTCATGCTGGCCACCTCCTATATTGTCATCTTGCGCTCCTTGAGGTCCCACAGTGCAGAGGGGAGACGCAAGGCCCTCTCCACCTGTGGGGCCCACTTTACTGTTGTTGCCCTGTTCTTTGTGCCCTGTGTGTTTACGTATGTGCGCCCGTCGTTTACTTTACCAATAGACAAGAGCATGGCGGTATTTTACGGTATTCTGACACCCATGTTGAATCCACTCATTTATACCCTGAGAAATTACGAGGTAAAAAGTGCCATGAAGAAGCTTTTCACATAGTAAAAAATTGTGGGTGGATCATGAGTGGCAAAAGAGGAAATAAAAATTATTTTATTGCTATGAGTAGAGCAAACCAAAACTGTTTTGTTACCGTATATCAACTTATATAATCTTATCCATCTATTTATCATCATCCACTTTTATGGTTTCTTTTCACTTGAAATGCATACTCTGATTATAAAATAACTATATGAAATATATAGGGCATGAATAATTATTATTCCTGTTTCAGAAATGAGAAAAATGTCTCCTGATGTGGTTAATTGATTAATCAAGGGTCTCTAGCCTTGACGTGCCTAAACTTAAAATCAGTTATTTGTGATTCATCATCCAGATCTTTCAATAACAATCCATGTTAATATTATTTGACTCTGTGCAAAAATTACGTTGTATAAATGTGAGCAAAATACAATTTAAGGCAAAAAACTTTACACTTCACTACATATAGGAGTCTGTGCATCTAGGTCTGGCTTCCATTTCTTCTTCCATATTTTTGTGACATCAGTAGGCTGCTACCCTGCAGCAGAGACAGTAAGATCTTGCTCTGCAGCAAGGTCAACTTGCGTCTGATTCTTATTTCCTATGTATAAGAAAATGAGCAAGTCCAAACCTCTGTAGTGTCTGAAGCTTGCCTTTAAAATAAATAAAGATGCCGAAACCGGTTTGGCTCAGTGGTAGAGCATTGGTCTGTGGACTGAAAGGTCCCAGGTTTGATTCTGGTCAGGGGCATGTATGTTGGTTGCGGGCACAACTCTGGTAGGGGGTGTGCAAGAGGCAGCTGGTCGATGTTTCTCTCTCATCGACGTTTCTAGCTCTCTCTCTCTCTCCCTTCCTCTCTGTAAAAAAATCAATAAAAATATATAAATTAAATAAATAAAGATAATAATGTTTAAAGTGTTATTGTAAGAATTAAATTAGATAATCTATGTAAAGTTCCTAATCAGATTTCTGGCACATATACTCCAACACATTTTATCTGGATGATTATATGTACCTCAACTTTTTCCTAATCTTCCATGAGGTTAATTGATTAATCAGATGTTGCTTTCCTTTCCTTTTCCATCTCTACTAAGTTTCAAATATGCTGTGCTAAGAACAGAGTGGTTTATGTTTTGGCCAATGATGCAAAGTGGACTTTCTTTCTTCCTCTTTCTGTTTCAAACTGCAAGGGATTCTAGTATCCTGGAATCTGAAATATCCATTCATGTTCATCCCATTCTTTTTCTAGTTTTTCAAACTCTGACTATATCCATTCCCAGGATTCACCCTTTAAGATTGTAGCCTCCCATAATTTGTAATAAACATATTTTGTTTGACAGATAATCTGTAATTCACCATCATATTCACTTTTTACACTATGGAAAAAACTGGAAGTACTAAAAATTAGTCTTCAATAGTCAATAAATTCAGGAGATCATCAGGAAATAATGGTTTGCTCCCCCAATTCTATATCTAACAAAACAACTGTTGCTGAATTCTTGGGCAAAATAAATATTGTCTTCTTTCACCTTGTTACATGTTTAAATCTAAATAATAATCACTACATATAAATGAGACCTTCAATTCTATTCCTATTCATTTCTGCTGTTAGATAGTAAAAGTATAACTACTCTATTTTTTTCCCCATTATCTAAGAAATATGAAATCATGATGAGGCTTGCTTAAAAATAACATTTTGCCAGCTTGATGCAATTTTATCATGGGACTTTCTAGAAAAGAATACTTACTTTAGTTGAAAATTGGAAAGTACCTTTATTTTCAGTACAGTCAGAATCTCAAATAGCAAAAAAGATTGATTCCATTGTACTTTGTGTGTGTGTATTTTTTATTTTTATTATAAGCATTTTTTTGCTCTTGTTTTTGGTTGTCAAAATTATGATTAATAATGGCCCAACTAACTTACAAATGAATTGACAGAAAAAATTAAGATAAGAAATTTGCTTCCTCAAAACATACAAAATAAATACTTAGTTCATGACTTTATTCACAGAATGTGCTCAACAAACATTAGCAATCATCATTATATCATCATCATCATCTTTATTTTTACATTATCCTGTTTCATTCTATCTTACTTGGGAACTACAATTAGATATTTAAATTTGATATTTTAAACATACAATCGCTTGTATATATTTACAAGATGGTTACTCATAAGAAATTATGGCACAGCATCTATTTTTCAAAGGCTTTCATATATAGAGAGATCTAGCCTGATAAAAGTCCCAAGAGCATGAGACATGTCAGCATCCCATAATTTTTGAATCCCTGGCTGAGAAACCTCCTGAAAGCAAGTTTCTGAACTCTTCCCCAGAAATCACAAACTCTGTAGATAGTTCTTTTGGTCTCTGGCCTTGATCTCCCTCTTCTCCTCCTTCTGGAGGACCGGAGCTGACAGGATCCAACATTCATGAAAACTTTTCAAACAACTCGGATCTCAAATCACTCTAACCACTCCCTATGGGTAACTGCAGAAATATTAAAGGGCATTTTAATCCCAGAATAAGGAGTTGGTGATGGGCTAGCTCTTAGTGTCCAGAGACTTTGCTCACTGCCCCATGAAGTTTCTGCGTTGGAGATAATAACTCACTTTGTTGTTGGCCCTCCTTGTAAATGGATGACATTTATTACACATATTGAAGTGAAGTGAGGCTGAGGCAGACATTTGACCCTCCTGTGATCATGGTTAGTGAATGACAGTGGCAGTGACCTTGGACTCTGCTGCCAGGCACTGCAGTCCTCAGCATACCTGGTGCTGTAGTGTCATCTCTGAAGACTGTAATAATGTCTGAGCAATTTTCACTCTTTCAGGTGACTCTTTTCCAACTTAAATCATTTAATTCTTACAACTTAAGGAAGTATGTAATGCCATTTCCCTTTTACAGATAAGAAAAAAAAGGCAGTGAGGTTATGCAACTTGCTTCTACTCACAAGGCTCTTTAAAGCTTTGGACAAGATGAGAAATCAAGCTTATTTGATCCAAAACTCTTAATAGCTGACTTCAAAACATCAGGCCATTTTCAAATCTCTTAGATTTTCATTGTGTTCATGATATGGATTCTTTTCTCTAATTCAGATTTGTGGTCACTGTTGCCCAGTTCCATATACTTATTCTTACATGATTATATATAGCCTAATGATCAGAGTCTACATGCCTGTACAATGTGAGATTAAACCAAGCACACAAAAAAAGATGCAATTTTAAGAGGTAATAAGCATGAGATGTACGAGGTTGCTCCTGGCATAACATGGCATACTGTTCTATAACATTAAAAAAAATATAAATAGAAAGAGTACATTCTAAAATAATAGTAAATGTACAAACCAGTATTATAGCCCCTTGTTATCATTATCAAGTATTATGCACTAACATAATTGTGTGTGCTTTACTTTTATATGGTTGGCAACAAACTAGGTTTGTTTACACCAGACGCACCACAAACGTGAGAAATGTGTTGCCCTACAATGTTATGTCAGCTACTATGTCCTTAACTGATAGGAATTTCTAAGATCAGTTATAATTTTGTGAGACCACCATTGTTCATGTGGTTCATTGTTGACCATTGTTTTCTCTCCTTTAAAATAAAACATCATTCTAGCTATAATGCCAGGTATAAAGTGTGTTTAAGAATATTGCTATTTATCTGTTTCAGATCCATAGTAAGGGGAACATTATGACTTTTGTAGGCCCTTGGTACTTTTGTCCTCATGGGTCCTTTCCTCCATAAAAGATTAAAAATTGTATTTTATAACTGCATTATATAACAATGACTAAAATCTAAAGTTTTATTTGACCCTGGCCCTTGTGGCTCAGTTGTTTGGAGCATCATCCAATGTACCAACAGGTTGCAGGTTGATTCCCAGTCAGGGAACATGCCTGGGTTACAGGCTTGATCCCTTTTAGGGGACATGCAAGAGGCAGCTGATCAATGTCTCTTTCTCATCAATGTTTCTCTCTCACTAAAATAAATAAAATGTGTTTAAAAAGCAAACAACAACAACAATAAAAAAGCCCCCCAAAACAAACAAAAAAAACCCCACAAAAATAAAAATAACCCTCCCGCCAAGGTTATATTTGAATATATTTATTTTAAAATAATATTTTAAAAGTAAAAAAACACATTGCATGGGCTCATATAACTCTTCTGAGCTCTGAGCTTTGTGCCGATTAAGGATATGTCACAAAGCTCTGAGCTTTGTGACATATCCTTAATGGATATGTCAGCCTGCCCACAACATGTGGGTTCCTGAAGAAAAATGATCCAAATAGGATAATTGACTGCCCCAAGTTTAATCAACTCAGAAAGGGAATAAATATCTATAAAATGTCACAAGATTTCCCCCTCCCTATATTCCAATTACAAGATTTATTCATTACCAGTATTCATTATTTGCTCCCAGAGCTTTTTCATGACATTTTTTACTTCTGCATTTCTGAGGGTATAGATTAAAGGGTTCAGCATGGGAGTTACTATGGTGCAAAACACAGCCACAGCTTTGTCAATGGGAAAGGAGGTTGAAGGTCTTAGGTACAGGAATATACAAGGTACAAAGAATAAGATGACACCGGTGACATGAGAGGCACACGTAGACAGGGCTTTGCGACGCCCTTTAGAGCTGTAAGCCCTGAGGGAGCACAGGATGACGACATAGGACGCAACCAGCATAGAAAAAACAAGCAAGCACAGTGACCCACTGTTGGCAGTAATCAGGGGCCCCAAAGTGTGAGTGTCTATGCAGGCTAGCTCCAGGAGAGGTATTAAATCACACATAAAATGGTCGATGACATTAGGGCCACAGAATGGTAACTGGACTATGAACAAAAGCTGGATCCCTCCATGAAGAAGCCCTAAAACTCCAGCCATTCCCATGAGCAAACCACACACAGGTCGGCTCATGCGGGTCATATAGTGCAAGGGCTTACAGATGGCTACATAGCGGTCATAGGCCATGGTAATTAACAAGACGACCTCAGTTCCACCAAAGAAATGTTCAATAAA